ATAATAAAAAATGTCAAAAAAAAAAAGGGTAAATGCAACAATGAGGCTGCTACGTTAATTATAGAAACATATCAAATGTCAAAATATTGTGTTGGAAAATTGGAATACATTATGGAAAATAATAATCAATCTCCGATATAATCTTAATCTATATAAAATTAGATATAGTAATTAAAAAATCCTATCAATTTGGTAGGTCGTTTGTTCTAAATCTTTAGAAACATTATTACAAGCAATATTTTTTATATATTTCTTCCCATTTTTCTTTCCTTTAGAGAAAAAAAAATCTGATTTATTTCATTTTATTCAAATTAACAAATCTTTGCATTCACATGATTATATTCTCTTTCGAAAATCTTATTAATCCATACAACTATATCTTTTATCTATGGCATGAGTGTGCCTATAAATAAACCCCAAATCCAATTAATCCCCTTCAAGAAGAAAAAGAAAATATAAATAACATTGGTGAAAAAAAGGTCAAGCTTTCTCAAATAACCCCTAAAACATGAGTAAGTTGTTGTGCCACATCTCTTGGTTAACATTTGTTATTTTTTTTAAACAATTTGATAAAAAAAAAAAATTAATCGATTTATTTAATTTTAAATATTTTTTTTTAAGGTTGTTGTGGCTCGTCAAGTTCGTGTAGTGTTGGCTCGTCCGGTAGAGTGCCATGGAAACCGATCTTGAAACCGAGGGATAGTAAAGTGGTCGGTTTCGGAAAATTTGCGGCGTCCGAGTACTCGAAAACGATGGCTTCGAACAACGAATATCTCGATTTTAAGTCGGTCACGCAAGGCGCGACCCGCCAGGTAGGATCGAGGCTGTACGTGTGGATCGAGATAAGGGCCAGAGACCTCGGCCACGGTGGCTCGACCGACAGGTGGAGGATGGATTTGTACGAGGAGGGAGGGGAAAAGTATCTAACCTCAGCCACAAAAATCAATAATTAATAATAATGTCCTAAAAGGATTGAATAATTCATAGGAATAATTGATTGATTATATTATATTATAAATTTTTAATAATGTTAGGTTTTGAATTTCATTAGTGTAGGCCGTGATTATGTATGTCTATGTTGGGTTGAATTAATAATTAAGTTGTTTTAGTGAGAAATTTTAAATTTTTTATTAGTTCTACTCCTAGTTTTAATTAACTCCTTTTATATGATCAAAAAGTAATGTACCGAAAAAAAAAAAGTAATTTATCTACAAAATGTAGATAGTTTTGCTATGATGAATAATAAAAGAATTATTATTTTATAAGTAAGTTTGCCAAGGTACATGAAAGAACAGTAATCAACATGGACAAGTATATATTCAATATTTTCGATGTATCTCAATGCTAAATTAATTCTAGAGGTATGCACAAACTAGGGGAATTTCAATACTATTAAAAATTGTGTATTTTAAAANGCTGAACTTGATAAATATTTTTAAAAAAATGATTAAAGTTATATTTATATTATTTTTTCATATTACTATACATAAAAATAATACATAAATACAAATAAATAATTTATATGTAAATTGTGTACCCAAAGTTTAATAATATTGTATCATGTCATAATCATTTACCAAATAATATATATATATATATATATATTTTAAAATAAAAAAATAAAAATAACGTCAGGCCAATGCCGTTCCGGTCAGAAACATGTTCGATGATTTGATCCTAATAACAATCAATCACGGATCTAATTTACATCCATAAAAAGTTTTAACCTATATCTATATCTATACTTATATAATAAGAATTAACATTTATCCAAAATAGTAGGTCAAATTATGGTTAATGTCGAATTTACATTAAATATTTTTCAAAACGGGTAAGTTTTTGTTCTTTTCACACTTCTCATTAATTATGTCATTTTCACACTTCTCATTAATTATGTTCTTTTCACACATCTAACTAGTACGGTGCCCGTGCGATGCACGGGAGCATTTATTATTATATATTTTTTTTAAAAGATATTTTTGTATTTAAATTGTCTCATGACATTAAAAATTTCATGAAAATGAAATTTATATGTTATTAAACACTTCCTTATGTACAACATTATTGATTTGATTCTTTGGCACGTAAAGTACTACATAGGTGTTCGAATTTATCCAAAACTGCATCTTATTAGTTATTAGTTAACAAATTTTAAAAAAAGGATCTTATTTATTGAACAAAATTAAAGTAGAAAAAAAAGTAAATTTTTTTAGAGACTTTCACTCATTATTTATTTTAAATCTAATTTAAATTTCAATTAAGAAAAATTGAAAAGAATCATAGTTAGTCCCGGAAATGAAACCGATTTTCCTACCAATAAACCGATTTTTTTATCAAACAAATTGATCCGAATTTTTTTTAAACCAAATAAAAAAAATAATCAATTTTTCCTAAAAATGCAACCAAATTTTCCTAACATTGCACCAATATTTGTACCAAACAAATTGAAATGAAAATAATTCTAATAAAAAATTGAAATAAATTGTTAATGTTTATGCTACTATCTCTTTCTTAAAGAAAATGATATGAACTTAACCAAAAAAAAAATGATAGGAACTTACCAAAATCTCGGTAAAATATGGTTAAGAAAAAACATAAGAATCCAAAAAGATCGATGCATTTAAATTTTGAAAAGTTGCACATAATTTTTCCTAAATAATTAGATAAGGTGACTTTAAATATCAATGATGAACCGCTTTTGTTACCAAAAAATGTGGACACAATTTTGAATGTACATCCCATCCAAATATCAATTTTATTTTTAAATAAAAATTGCACGTGGTTTTATACAATTTACACATTTTTTTTGAAAGAAAAAATTATTCAATAAGATTGGAAGAATTGGTTAAGAATTATACAACTATTTGCTTCCTAAATTTGTATCCAATTTGCACGGCTTTTAAATTAATTTGTATTTAAAATTGTTTTCATAAATAATTGACACATTTTTTACATAAGAATCTCTAAATTTGTTACCAAAAAAGATATGATTTAAATTTTGGTAAAAAAATAATATATGATACGAAAAATATGGGATTCAAATTTCGCCATTAGAATCTCCAAATTTGTTACCAAAAAAATAGGATCTAGATTTTGTTACTAAAAATTCACATGTGTTTTTTTGAACTTTCCATTAATAGTAAGTCAAACATTATATTTATTTGGTCAAACTTTCTATTAACGTATTTTTCCAACAACCTCTTTATATATATATAGATTAAATCATTCCATATGAGCTTTTATCGTTAAAATGTATAGCGATCTGTTATGACCTTATCCCATTGATATTTTCATGAAGCGTCCTTATCGCGTTCTATTTTTTGGTAACCACTCTATATCAATAACCGGATATTTGGTAATGATAGCACACGTCTTTATTTGATATTCTTTGACCTTTAATTAATCTGAACTGATTGCCTTGACTTTTCAATTTTTAAAAACTCTTTTTTTTATCGCACGTTGGTCTTTTCCTGAAGAAACCCGTTTTTAGTCGCGGCCAATTATATGTTGCTGCTTCGCGTGTAAATAATAGAAGGGGGTTGAAAATATTAATTTGTGATAATGAAGAGTTACCAAATAATCAAACTCATAATGTTGTGTACAAGGAGGTTTGTATAATTTATGATTGTTACCGAACTTTTTATGATTCAACAATGTTCCTATATATTTTAATGATTTCAATTTCGATCCTAATGCACGTGAGATTATATTATTTTTCTAAATTTTACATCCCGTGCATCGTACGGGTTACGTATATAAAAAAAAAATTAGAATAATATTTGTAACTAACGGTTTTATCCATAATATCCTTAAGTTAGTTTTTATCCATAATATCCTTATAAAATTACAAGAATATTTTTAATAACTGTTTCCTTGCATGGTTATGGCAATGAAATAATCCTATAAATTTATTACGTTTTTTCTTCCATATTTTATTCCTAACGGGTTATTACAAACATGATTTTATTTTATTTTTATCTTTTATCACGTCAACCAATTATTTATTTAAATCAACAAAATCTTTTTATTCCCTTCCACAAATTAATGCCTAGCTACGAGCATGTGTACCTATAAATAAAACCATTTACACTCTAAATCTAATTAATCACAAAGATCAAGCTTAATTGACAATATGAGTAAGTATATACATATCATCTCCTGAAAAAAAATAAAAATTGGTTGTGTTGTGTTCATAATCGTGTTTTTCTTTTTCCTTGGTTCATGTGTGGTTTTTTCTCAGGTGCCGAGCCATGGAAACCGATTCTGAAGCTGAAGAACCGTAAGTTTGTCGATTACGGTAAATTTGCTGCAGCTGAGTACACGAGAAACTACGCGCCTAGCAATCAATATCTCGAGTTCAAGAGTGTTACGCAAGGCGGGACCCGCCAGGTGGGGTCGAGATTCGAAGTGTGGCTTGAAATCAGGGCCACCGATCGTGGGGATGGCGGAAGTGTCGGCTTGTGGAGGATGAATTTGTACGAAGAGGAAGGCGTAAAGTTCTTCACCAACGGCCGAAAACTTCCCGATGATTACGATTAATAAATATTATCGATTTTATGTTTACTTATATATTTCAATTTTTAGCATTTTTTTTGTTTTGTTTTTTTTTTTCTTTAAGTATATAAAGTTGATAATAGTGTTTTTAGTTGGAAATTTTGGGGGGTTTTGATTACTTGTTGGGAAAGTTTTATATGCATGTGCATGGCCCTAATATGTGATTATAATTAGGTCTAATGATAATTTGAAGGACAATGCTACATGTACAATTATTGTTTACTACATTAGTTAAAAGTATCATTCAATCAAATCTTAACCATACATTTATTTGCATATGAACTACTCACATTATACCACATCATGTTGTCATTGAATATTGTACAAAAAATTTGTACTAAGCAGTTTTTTCCTAATTTGAATATGTTTCTTCATGTTTTTTAGGGAGATATTTTGAGGTTTTGATTAGTTGTTGGGGCAGAGAGTTTTATGTGTCTCAATGGATTTAATGTTGATTGGTTCTAACAATTTGGTTATTGCTTGAATACATGTGAGCAAAACAAACTTGATTTGACTCGGAGAAGCTCAAGCTCAGTAGATTCGTTTACTTAAAACGAACCAAACTTGAATAGCAAATCGAGCCCTTGTTCTCGAACATCTATTTTGTTTTTATGGGTTTTATCGGAAACTTATAAACTAACCAATTAAGCTAAATGATGTAGCCAAGCCGAATTTGTTTGCAAATGAACATTTCATATCTACGAACGACTCATTTAAGATTTTTAAATTTATTAAACGAGCCGAGTCGAACCAAATTACATGTGCACGAGCTCAAACATACGAGCTACTTGGCTCGGCTCAAGTATGCCTAAATTTCACCCCAAACATACGAAAATCATGTTTGGTAGGTCATGCATGAGTAAGACCTTTTTGCTAACTATTTGCACATACATTATAAGAAGAATATCTCAATTTGGTCACGAAAGGTCATAAATCATAATATGTTCGTCAATTACAACGATACAAACTGTCCGGTCACAAAAGGCATATGTTTGTCGAGTATCGAAATAAATAAAACTCAACAGCTTTAGTATATAAATAGTTCATCTTAGTCTTTCAAGACAGAGTTTACTCGTGGCTAAACCAAATTAGCCTCGTTAGCAGAAAGTCATGCCATAAGAAAGGTTCAACAGCTTTTGAGAAGAAATAAGCCAAATAAGTTACCAACTTTTTTTTAATCCCTTTTTGAAAAAAGGGTTTTGTGTAGTTCTCTGTTGTTTGTTGTTAAACTATTTACTAGTGTTCTTGTACCTGTAGTTAATCGTCATTCTTCATCTGTAACTATATCTCCATCTGTAACTATATCTCGAAAAAGTTGCTGGCTGAAGAGTAAACTTCGAAATTTTGACAGAAGAAACTGAGTGAGCTAATTTTCCTTCATCATCACCTGAAAGACGAGTAACGAGTGTATTGTGAGACCGAAATCAATATTTGACAGGTAAATGGCAGATCTTCAGAAGATAATCATTAAATGTTACTCACATTGAATTTAAATCTCAGAGAAGTTTCACACATATATATAATATCCGATGGCTGATTCGCTTTTATATACTACTTTAGAAATTCGTGTTATGCAATTAAATTAAAAAGCTTACGAAATCAAAGTCGAATTATATTTAATTTCAGTAATACAAAGGCACAAGATATTGTCACGATATGGCCAATAACTACAACAACAACAACAACAACAACAACATAGCCTTTTAGCTCCAAGCAAGTTGGGGTAGACTAGAGATGAAACCCAAGAGAACTAATGGTAAGAGAAACCAATGGCCAATAACATTAAGTTATAATTACACTAAAATGTGTTGTAAGATGATCAGACCAAAAAAAAAAGAAGATTTTTTTTTTACATATCGATTTCGATAGATGAAAATTTGAAATTAGCTTTAGATTCTGTTTCCCTCTGCCAAAACTAACAAAATATTCTCATCCAGAAACATAATCTGTCCAATTAATGATATGTTGAATATCATTAATTCACTTTTTTATACAAAATATAATACCACACAGCTTAAATGCACACATGAACAGTTGAAAGTTCATAGCAACAACATTGCCTGCATAAAAGTTAAATGACATGAGAAAGAGTCACATTACCTTTATAAAGTCATCATACTGCTTTTGTTTTTTCCTTTTTTTATTTTTTTTGGTTTTGTTTGTCTGCTTTTTTCGTATCTTGTTAGAGCACCAAATTGAATCCTTCAGACAAGAAATCATCCCTAATGAAAAAGCAAAACTCATGAGTTCATTCCAAGATACAACAAGCAAAATCCAATCTAGGATATGAAAATATATTTTCAAAAGAATCACTGCACTGTTATCTGCCTAAGATGACGAAAAGAAGCTCGAAAATTTATTACTCTATATAACATGTCACACAAGATCTACAACAAAGCAGATAAAACCCGAACAGCGCATGATAAAACTACTTAAAAATCAACTCTGAGACATATTTTCACAAGTTTTACAAAATCGGTAAGCATCTTTAAAGAGAGTTTCACTTTCCCAATCGAACCCGAAATGCAAAACTTTTCTTACATCACCCACAACACAACTACTATTAATCATGAGGACAATATAATAAAAACAACTCGATCTGCAAGGTGCAAGCAAAACCCATAACCATATATAATAATCGTACTTAACAGAGCTAAGAAAATCATTAAGTCAACAAACAACTAACAACAACTCAACAAAGCACATAAATATCCACATAACTAAACATCCAAAATCCATTTAAAACACCACAAAACCTCACCTTTTCTTTCCTTTCTTCTCCCTTTTCCTCCTTATCTTCTTCTTCGTCTCTTTCCCCTGCTCGCTGAGCCTAATAAGACTCTCGACACAAACCTCAGCATAAAACCTGTAAGGCAAACCCTGAACATTGACATCACTAACGCTCTTTTCCTTCGAATCGAACCAAACGAGCTTAAAATCATTGCAGCTCAACAAGACTTTATCGCCGTCCGGCGAATAAACCAACGGGCTCAGAAAATCTAGCCGGTCGATCGCCGGAGGGCCGACAGCCACCACTTTAGTCCAAGATTCGCTTGACCCATATTCCTTCATCACCCAAATATCAATCTTGCTATACTTTTTCCGATGAACCACCGAAAGACAGCTGTCCAACACGTAGAGAACGACGTGGGAGTCCCACATTTGGACACCTGGCGGCAGCTTCATGGAAGAATGCTTCTCGGTTTGGACACTAAAAGCCATGATTTTACCACCGTCACTTTCACGGGGATCCAAGACGAGTGTATGAAGGGATCCGCTGACGTGTACACGCCAGAAACAATTAAGGAACGGCAGAGGGTAAGGGAAATCTTCGATCCTCCGCCAGCAATTTGACCGGAGACTGTAAACCCTAGCCTCCGACGAGACCCACGCGTAGCTCCCTTCGTGCCGGAACTCAATAACCCTAATCACCTTGTAATCGTCGGCAATCGGCTCGTACCCGAACCCGTAGACTGTGTGCGGGTAGCATTCCGGCGGGGTCCGGTGCTCGATGGGGCAGCTGGGGAGTACCCTGTGGTCCCTCGAGAAAGGGTTGTACAGAACGGGCGGGTCGCCCATGGCGAGGACGACGCCGTTGCAAGAATTGGAGAACCCGTCGGAGGCTCTGTAGCAGAACGGCGGGCGGAGGGGGACGGCGCGGTCGAGACGGCCCAGATCGACGGCGAGGAGCTCGAGGCCGATGAGGAGGTGGCGGTTGGAGGCGGTGGATAGGGAGCGGTGGAGGTGGGATTTGGCGAAGGGCTCGCTGTCGATCAGGGAGTGCCACGACCGCGCCACGGAGCGGAAGCGCTTGAGGGATTTCACGGGGAGGCGGCGGAGGATGTCTTCCACCAGCTCGAATGGGAGATTGGTTGCCATTTCTGCGCCTTATCTTTTATGATTAAAAATCGAGTATTTTTTCAGCTGGGTTTTTCAGTTTTGGGGTTTTTTCACTGACAAATTGGAAAATAAAACAAAAAATGGTAAATTGCCATTAAATTGATCTTATATGGAGAAGACTTCGAAAATCCACAGAGCTTTTCAACAGAAAAAAAGAAATAAAAAAAGAATAGTTTCTTTGTAACCCATATGAGGAAATATCAATTCTTCAAGTTCTTATCATTTTTTTCACAAAATTGTATTTTCTAAAATATTTATCCATTTTAATTAAAATGCATTGAAATTGTATTAGAAATCTGGAGTTAAATAATTCAAAGGATGATAAATTTTAGCAGAAGAAAGGAAGGAGGAGAAGAGAGAAATTAAAGTGCAAGGATTACTAAATTTTTTTTTTCAATTTTCATATGAAAATTAATAGTCCCTTTTTAGTTTTTAATAAGGCCATCTCCAGCCCGTATCTCTACTCTAGCGCGGACTTTACTCTACTCTAGAGTAGAGTTAAACATTCATCTCCAACTTTTATCTCTACATTTTACTCTACATTAAATATATTATTTTTTTATTCATTTTTTATTTCAAATAAATTGGTATATATGTATATTTAATATTATATAAAATGTTAATTACTCAAATAATAAAAATATATTTTATTTATTTTTATTTCGAATAATTTGCTATATATATGAATATGTAATATTATATAAATGTTTATTACCCAAATAGTAAATAATTAGTGCAAATTTACACACTAGACCATATATGGTTTAGACCATATATGAATTAGTGTAAATTTACACACTAGACCATATATGGTTTAGAGCATATATTCACATTTAAAAAATAATTATAATAAATTGAATTTCTTAAAGAAGATACATATACATCTATGTACCGATTGAATCAAAACTGTTACTTTTGAAAATATATGAATTAGTGCAAATTTACACACTAGACCATATATGGTTTAGACCATATATGAATTAGTGCAAATTTACACACTAGCCCATATATGGTTTAGACCATATATGTCATCTTTAATCATGTTGTGTTTATTTGTGTGTTAAGTCATTTTTAATCATGTTGTT